CCAAAAAAAATTAAACAAGTAAGGCTAGGAGGGAGGACCAGCCCTAAGAGACATTTAAAACATGCAATGAAGAAACTATAATTAAATCAGTGTGGTTCTGGCTCATGAATAGACAAACAGATAAGAGAAACAGGACATGCAAAAGTATCTAAAAATAGACACAACATATATGGAAATTTAATATAAAATAAAAGTGACATCTCAAGTCACTGGAGGAGAGATGGACTATGGTAAATTATATTGAGACAACTGAAAAACCATTTGGAAAAAAATAAAATTACATACATAACTTATACTATACATAAGAATAAACTACAAATGAATCAAAGATGTGAATGTTAAAAAATACTGAAACTATGTAAGTAATAGAATAAAACGTGTACATTCCACTTTTTGAGGTGTAGGGAAAGGCTTTAAACTGTATGCAAAATCCAGATACAATAAATAAATTGATACCTTTGACTACATTAATTAAAATTATTTGTATGCAAAGAATATCATGAACAAATTAAAAAGACAGTTGATCTTGGAGAAAATATTTGCATGTAAACTATAGGTAAGAGATGAATATCTCTACTAGGTTAAAAACTCGTACAAATTTAGGATGAACGATTATGCATCCAATAGGAAATTGGAAAAATTACATGTGTAGACATTACAAAAAAAAGACAGAACAATGGTTCTTAAACATAAGAAAATATGTTTAACATGACTTATTGTTTGAGGAATGCAAATTAAAATTACATTAAGGTATGATTTCTCCTTGTTAGTTTGGTAAAAAAAAAAATTCTTAAAAATATGACAGCACATTTAGTTGGTCAGGGCATTGGGAACCAGGACACATATATTTGCTGTTGGGATTGCAAATGGGCACAGCCTCCAGGAGGGAAATTTGGCAACATCTTACAAAACTGCTTGCATACTTAACTTTTTGACTGAAGAAGTCCATTTCTGGGAATTACTCTAAATATATATTTCTAACATTAATAAAATATATATGCATAAGTTTATTAATTGCAGTATTGTCTGCAATTACCCAACAAAGGAGGATGGTTGAATGAGGGTGCAGCTGGAAGAAGACCTCTGTGGAGTGATATTGGATAAATTCCAGGATATATTTAAGTGTAAAAGTGTGAAGAAATTATCTATAGTATATGTTAAAAGAAAAACTTTTCATAAGTTAAATTAAGCACAAATTATTTGAGCAAAGAGTGTGATATGGTTAGGTTTTATGTGCCCACCCGAATCTCATCTTAAATTGTAATCCCCAGGTGTTTAGGGAAAGACCTGGTGGGAAGTAATTAGATTATGGGGGCAGTTTCCCCATGCTGTTCTCATAATAGTGAGTGAGTTCTTAAGAGATCTAATGGTTTTGTAAGGCAGTTTTCCCTGCTCTTATACTCTCGCTTTCTTGCCTGCTGCCATGGAAGATGGCCCTACTCCCCCTTCTGCCATGATTGTTAGTTTCCTGTGGTCTCTCCAGCCATGTGGAACTATGAGTCAATTAAATCTCTTTCCTTTATAAATTACCCAGTCTTGGGTATTTTCTTAAAGCACTGTGAGGACGAACTAATACAGAGTGATTTGTGAATTAGGCAGCTCTTAGAACCAGAAAAAGAAGAGGTTCAGAGATCTCCACTCAGCAATGTGGCCAGACAGTATTATAGACAGGAAATGGATGTGAGGTATAGAAATAGCTTGATTGATAACAGCTCTACATTTGCCTTGTTTAAACATAGTCTGATCAATTGGCAGCACGTGATTGTCAGAACGTTAGCTGCTATGATGGACTGACACCTAGCTGTTTGTTACAAAATATTCTTGTAGGTTATGCTCAGTTTTTTTACATACTAAGCTAGATTGTAATTTGTTACTAGGGACTCAAGATACAGAGACAGCCTCAGCCCAAATTTAGTTTAATTTAAAATATGGTACCCTTTATGTTAGAAATAAGGAGAAATGAGAAAACATACATATACTCATTTTTGCAAAAGAGAAAAACATATGCAGGGCAAACAACAAATTGAGATTGGCTACTTATGGTGGGGGTGGATATGGGGGGAGAGAATGGACAGCTGGGATGGACAGAAGTGATATTTCTCTGAATGTACATTTCTGTACATTTATGCATACAGTAGTCCCTTGGTATCCATTCAGTATTAGTTCGAGGATCCACCCTCAGATACCAAAATCTGAGGATATTTAAGTTCCTTATGTAAAATTACATAGCATTTGCTTGTAGTGTACACACATCCTCCTGTGTACTTCAAATGATCTTGGCATTACTCATAATACCTTGTACAATGTAAACACTGTGTAAATAGTTGTTAGACTGTTTAGGAAATAAGACAAGAAAAAATTCTATATATGTTCAGTGCAGATACACTGTCCTTTTTTTCCTCTAATATTTTCTATCTTTGGTTGGTTCAGTTGCCCAATGTGAAATCTGTGGATACTGGGCTGACTACATTCTTATTTAATGGTATTTACATATGCTTCTTCATTTTTACACATGCTTACGTATATTCTCATATGTAAACTGACTTGTAGAACCATGTTTATGTTTCATAGACTCATGAGAAAGTAAAATTAACAGATATTGGGGTGGGAGGCAAAAGGAAATACAAATAGAAACAAATGAACCTGTCTTACAAATGAATGAACACAATGAAGGAATAAAAAGAAAAGAACTAATTTAAGTAACTCGGAAAATAGTTTTCCAAAGATTTAATCTAAGCCTAAAGGCAAAAAGAATTATAGATATCATACCTTATTTATGGTGTTTGTTTTTCACTATAAATTGTTTACCATTGAATAAATAAATGTATTGTGGATAATGAGAGCCAGGTATCTCCCTATTAAAGGAAGGAGTTATAAATAAGTTTGATGGTTAATTTTAGGTGTCAACTTGACTCGATTAAGGGATACCTAAGTAGCTGGCAAAGCATTATTTCTGTGAGAGTGATTCTGGAGGAGGTTGGCCTGTGAGTGGGTGAACTGAGTGGGGGAAATCGACCCTCGGTGTGGACAAGCACCATCCAATTGATTGGGGAGGTGGAGAAAAGGTGAATTTGCTTCCTGTCTTTTGGAGTTGGGACACACTTCTGTTTTAAGACACCAGACTCCAGGTTCTCTGGCCTTTGGACTCGGAGACTTGCAATAGCAGCTTCTCTAGGTTCTCAAACCTGCAGCATAAAAATGGGAGTCACGCCATTGGCTTCCCTGGTTCTGAAGCTTCTGGACTTGAACTGACACAGTCACCATTTTCCCTGGGTCTCCAGCTTGCAGAAAGCCTACTGTAGGACTTCTCGGCCTCCATAATCATGCGAGCTGATTCCCTTAATAAGTCCCCTCTCACTCATCTATCTCTCTATCTCTATCAGTCTATCAATCTATCTAATCTATTTCCTATTAGTTCTTTCTCTCTGGAGAACTCTAATATACGTAAAGGAGTTAGGGCAGAATAAACTTTGTGGTGTTGGACTGGAATTGGAGGTGTCAGTATGAAAGCAAGGCCATATCTTTATTTCCTACCTTTGTCCCTGAGAGATCCAAGAGCAATGACACCTCAGTACTAATGAACATACTTAGTGCCCAGATATTGGTTTTGGAAAACCATTTTCCAATAAAAGTAACCAGAGCTTTTTGGAAAAGTAGTTGATTCTGGGTGTGGGGCATTGTGCCTGGGGTCTCAAGGTCACCCCCAACTTTGGTAATTTGCTTGAAAGATCCACAGAATGAGCATATAGTCATACTCATGTTATTGCAGCCAAAATATAGAAAACAAAATCAGCAAAGGGAAAAGGGCATGGGGTGAAGTTCAGAGGAACAAATGTGCAAATTTCCAAGACTTCTCCCAGTAGAATTACTCAGGATGAGTTTACTTTTTTCAGCATCAAATTGTGGCAGCACATGGAAAACATTGTCTACCAAGGAAGCTCATTAGAGACTTGATGGCCAGGCTTGTTTTGAGGTTTGATCATGTCAGAATCCTATGCCTCTATTGTACCAAAATTCCAGACACCAGAAGGAAATAAAATGCTTGAACTAAAGCACAGTTTTTTTTCTTTTTTACGCAAAAAGTTTAGGCTCAGCAATCTCTTTTTATCAGGAAATACTGAGAATGCACCAGAAATCCAAGTTTCTAAATGCTAGACAAGGTCCAACCATGTAAATAGGCCTTCTTGTAGATGGCAGCCTCCAGTCTGCCATATAACTCTGTTTTGCTCAAAGTAAGGTGCTCAAAAATAGCAGAAACTCATTGGTACACCAGATGGCTAAATCTGGTACAATTTGAGCTACAAAATTATTATAGTAATGGATTATAACTTATTGAATGATAAGATTGCACAAGTCCCTGCCAACATAAATATATAAATGTAGTGAATTATTTTAATTTTGTGTTGCCTTGGTATCCTTTTTGAATAGTTTAATTCTCTCATGCCGGAAGCAGAGCTCAGTTACTCTTACATGGTTTCCAGTTTTACACCACATCCAAATGGCTTAGACTGGTGGCTAAATAAGAAATAAGAACTTGTTGCATTTCTCCTGCCTCAGGGCTCCTTCTTTCTCACTGCTTCTTTTTTTTTTTTTTTTTTTTTTTTTTTGAGACAGAGTCTCCCTCTGTCACCAGGCTGGACTGCAGTGGCACGATCTCGGCACATTGCAACTTCTGCCTCCTGGGTTCAAGTGATTCTCCTGCCTCAGCCTCCTGAGTAGCTAGAACTACAGGCTTTGCCACCAGGCCCAGCTGTCTTTTGTATTTTCAGTAGATATGGGGTTTCACCATGTTGGCCAGGATGGTCTCAATCTCCTGACCTCACGATCTGCCTGCCTCAGCCTCCCAAAGTGCTGGGACTACAGGCGTGAGCCACTGCGCCTGGCCCCCACTGCTTCTTTAAACAGACTGCTCAGGCATTTACCCCAAAACTAAAGTAACCTAAACATTATTCATTTCTATATACTACTGGTTGCTAATGCCCTCTTCTCTCTCCTCATAGCTCTTCATGCCTGCCTTGTGTGACCTGGGGATGAAAGAGTGCCCACTCAACTCACTCTACGCTCCTTGGTCAGAATTTGTAAGTAAAAGTCTTTGCACTTATTTCCTATTGTTATAGTGTATTGAATTTGTGCTTTTTATGTCAAGAATCAGGAGCTACTGTAAGCTGGATTTTGTACAGAAGCTGGGGAAACACAAAATCAGGTTCCCAGTGCCAGAGCAATGGTCAGGGAGGCACAAACTGAACACTGGTCAGAAAAGAGCCACAGAGCATCTGCCAGTCTAAACAAGTTTCCTGTATGAGGGAGCCCCTGGTTGTGGGTCAGACAAGTAGCCATTAGGCAGTTTGCCAGGTTAAAAAAAAAGTAAGTATCTGGTAAAAAGCATGCAGTAAACACTCATGTCCAGTTTCCCTTCATTTCCTGTTGGGGCAGAGTTGCTGACCAGTCTGATACTGGAGCCTGAATTTAGCTGGGGGCTCTCAAAACAGTAAGGAAGATAGAAAACTATATCTTCTGGTAAAATCCCAACTAATAAATAAATATAATGAAAATGGAAAATTACCATTAGTAACACCACAGTATGATTGATCCAAGCAGGAATCATAAACAGATGTCAAAATTAGCAGGCAAAGTCCTGTGAGAAATGGGATATTTATATGCTCTAAATGGTCCACAATAGACTTCTCAATTACAAAGGAAAATACAACTTTACAGTGAAGAAACCTAGTAGACACCATTTTAACCAAGTAATCACAGTTATCATCATCAGCAGTGGGAGAAACCAACAACATGTACCTCTTAAGGAATGCAATGAGTAAAAAGCATCACTTCTGGATTTTGTACAGAAGCTGCGGAAACACAAAATCAGGTTCCCAGTGCCAGAACAATGGTCAGGGGGGCATAAACTGAACACTGGTCAGAAAAGAGCCACAGAGCATCTGCCAGTCTAAACAAGTTTCCTATATGAGGGAGCCCCTGCCAAAAATGTAAAACCCAAGTTCATTACTCAGAAAACATCTGGGGCTGGGTGGTGGTGTGTGCTATGGGAGGATGAGGTGGGAAGATCTCTTGAACCCAGGAGTTCGAGGTTGCAATGAGCTGCACTTGCACTACTGCACTCCAGTTGGAGAGTGAGACCCTGTCTCCAAAAAAGCAAAGCAAAACAAAGAGAACATCAGAACAATTCAAATTGAGTGACATTAGAAAAAAAAAAAACAAGACCAGGACTTTTCAGAAGTTTCAAAGTCATGAAAGACAAAGACCAAGGAACTAACTTGTTCTAGTTAAAGGAAACTAAAAACACATGACTTCAAAATACATTCTGTTTTATAGTCAAAAATCAGGAAAATCTAAATGACCTACATCAAGAAAATGGAAATAATGTCTGTAGATTACATAATAGTATTGTATTTATCATAGTTTCTTGATTTTTTTTGTCTACAGTAGTATGGTTTACTTAATTGTTAAAAGCGGTAAATACTTTTCAAAGGAAATGTTTTCTTTCTCCTGAAAAGCAAAACAAAAAGGATCAGCAAAAGAGTTTTTATGACTTTTTTAAGCAAAAAGTCATAAAAAGTCATAAAATGATTGTTTTGGTCTTTTATTAGTTTAGTCCATGCTATTAACTATCATTTTGTCTGATATTGAGCCACATTCCTTATGAATGTATTAAGTTTCTGTGAGAATCTTGAAAGTGTATCTGTGTTTTCTTTTCCATTTCAATGGCACAGATTTTTCTTTTCTTTTTTCTTTGAGACAGCATTTTGCTTTGGTTGCCCAGGCTGGAGTGCAATGGTGCGACTTCAGCTCACTGCAACCTCTGCTTCCTGGATTCAAGCAATTCTGCCTCAGCCTCCTGAGTACCTGGGGGGGGGTGCATGCCACCATGCCCAGCTAATTTTTGAATTTTTAGTAGAGATGGTGTTTCACTGTGCTGGCCAGGCTGGTCTCAAACTCCTGGCCTCAAGTGATCTGCCCACCAAAGTGATCGGCCTCCCAAAGTGCTGGGATTACAGACATGAGCCACCACACCCAGCCAATGAGACAACAATTGTCTTTGGGTGACAAAAGGCTTTGATAATTTTATTATGTCAAGTAAATAGCTAACAACTGGGAAATTGGACAAAGGGAATATATAATATGTTGTAGTATTTTTACAACATAGTTGTAAATATAAAATTATTAAAAATTGAAAAGGAGAAGATAAAAATAATTAATAAAACATGAATTAAATATATCCGCATGACATTAAGAAATTTCTTTATTATATTAATTTTTGAAATTATTACATTGTGCTAAAATTTATGAATTTCATTTTATAATATTCTCTTAACTGTAAATAACATTATGTAGAAGTTAAATAATGTAGTTTCAAGCACTACAAAAGTAAAAGTAAATTTTCAAAATATGTTTTCAGTTAGTTAACAAGTCGAGGATAAAGAATACAAACAATCATAAAGAATCTGAGGAATTTGATAAGTTTTGGATAAAAAAGTTTTGTCTTTCAAAAATCCCCAGGAAATATCAGTACATTCTGTGTCAATAACTAAATGTTTCAAAGTAGGGATTTTCTTTTGGACAGAAAAAAAAATTTGTAAAATATTTCAATGACAGTTCAAACAACTCTGTTTAGGCTGTTTTAAAGGCTGTTTTCAATTGAACATAGTTCAAATTGTTGCAATTCAAAAAAAAAATTGCAGTTAAAATGAGCCAATTTAGCTTGGCCAGATATTGTTTTCAACCCTAGACATGTGGTTAAAGCTGCTGATATCAGAAGTAAATTGTCAAATTTGTGCAATAACTTGGTCACTGCAAATTACTTAAAAAAGTAGATACATTTGCTGAGATAACACCTTTGAAAAATCTATCAAACAAAAATTTTTATTTTCATCTTGTATGATATTTGGTTGCCATAATATGCGGTTACCTGGGATTTTTTTGGATTATCAGGTACAATGTTGTTTGAATGTCGCTACCTCTAACTGGAATTAATAAACTCTGTCGACTTCTTTGCTGCAGCATGGATTTATTTGCAGTGCACTGTAACTAGTACCTAATAGCTTCTGTTTCTTCTGCTTTTTCTTTAATTTTAGAAAGGTGAACATTAGAAATTTAACAAATAGTGGCTTTATTTATTTCAATTAAATCAGTCTTCTACATACATGCAATCGTCTTAAAGGGGAATATCTGCTGATACTTTCTCTCCTCCTTTGTACCTCAATCATTAACTGCTTTAAGCTTTTCCATATCTGAGTTTTAGAGTTTAAATTGTGTTTATAATTTATGACCTCACTCTTTTTTGTGCTTTGAATGAGACAGTTCCATGTAATCTGTCTTTGCTCTTTTGTTTCCCATGAAGGGCCCTGGTTGGGATACATTTCATTAGCTGTTTCAGAATTTCTTTAGATTGCATACCTGCAGTGTCAAACTGGCTCCCTGCAATCCAAATTGGTCTACCTGAGCCACAGTGAAGGGAAGAATATTCTGACAAGTGCACTATAGGACCATTTAAATGGGATTTTCTAGAGCATGAATATTAGACTGGAAAAAAATAGATGTTTATTAGTATTATGAGCCTCTTTTACTAGGACAGCCTTAGATTGTCTTACCAATTTAAAGGGATGGATTCAGTACTGCTTTATCAGCTCTTATAAAGCCAGAGGCTCTCTAAAAACTAAGGAGTTGCAAGGCAGGAGGTATAAGGCTCAAAATTCCAAGTTTAAAATTCCCTCAGCTGGATTTTTTGAGGTAAAAACTGTCATTGCTGTCATAATACAATGTCAGCACAAGCCCATCTTCAGTGAGTATCTTAGCACTGCCTCTGTGCTTTAGGAAGGTTGTACCATGACCTTCATTTCAGAACCAATGCACTGCTCTGGGGAATCTGTATCACATTTAATGTTGTTTCTAGATCAGCAAATCCATATCCCTGAGACACCTAAGGGCTGATGAAGGAGCCATAAGATATGAACCAGATTAAAAACTCATTCATTCTAGCTCCAGAAACTACAGTTGAGATATTCCTAGTTTAAAGGAAAAATAACATCGATGCTTTCTAAAACTGGCAAGAAGATTTTATTTACGAGTATTGCAAAAAGGGTCAAACTATTGCAATAAAGGACAATTCAGCTAAAAAAACAAACAGGAGTTTCAAGCACTGGGGTGAGCTAGTGAAAAAGTACTGGAGGTGATAGGGGAAGTTGGTTAGTTTGATGAGGTCATTTACGTTTGTCATTCAGTGCTTACTGAAGTTAAGCTCCTACTCTCCCACAGAGACTGGGAGATAGGAGTGCTAATTTTTTTTTTCTTTAATTATTACATTTCTGGGAGAAGGTTTACATCTTAAAAACACAGAAAGAATTTACAATGGTAAGTTTCCTAAAGTAAATTCTCTAAGAAAAAGGAGGTAAGAAAGAAACCTGTCCAAATTTAAGTCAAGCTGAGGGGATTGTTAAAGCTGTTTTAATCAACAGTGTAGGAGAGTCACTAATGAACCATGAAAGCATCTAAGAGAGAGTAAGTTTTAAATCCTTGCCAGGCACAGAGAATGAGAAGACAGTACCATTTCTGAGGAGAAATTCAAGCCACCTGCAGAAATTTATATAAGTAACAAAGAGCCAGTTGTTAAGCCGAGACAATGGGAAAGTGAACCCAGGGCATGTCAGAAGTATTCAGGGCAGCCCCTCCTATCACAGGCTCAGAGGCCTAGAAGGAAAAAAATGATTTCATGGGCTGGGCCCTAGACACTTGCTGCTTTGTGCTATCTCAGAACTTGGTGTTCTTGTGTCCCAGGCATGGCAAAAAGGGCCCAATGTATAGCTCAAGTCTTTGCTTCAGAGGGTGCAACCCCCAAGACTTGACAGCTTCAATGTGGTGTTCAGCCTGTGGGTGCAGAGAAGTCAAGAACTGAGGTTTGGGAATCTCCACCTAGATTTCAGAGGGTGTATGGAAATGCCTGGATGTCTAGGCAGAAGTTTGGTCAGGGGTGGAGGCCCCATGGAGAACCTCTCCTAGGGCAGTGCAGAAGGGAAATGTGGGTTTGGAGACCCCACACAGTGTCTTCACTGGAGCACTGCAT